AGCAGCATACAGCTGGGTGAATGCCGTCTCTGCCGCCACTAGATGGAGCCGAGGAGCACAGGGATTTCCTCTGGTCCTCTAGAGCAGTGCTTCTTATAGTGTGGGTCGCGACCCCATATGGGGTCCCGCAAATTAACAGGGGGGCACGATCTGAATCCCCGGCCAAGACCGCCATAGGGGGGTACAGTCGGTACTTGTGTGAGGGACCCAGGCGGCCCGCGGAGGCCTGGGCTCCAAGCAAGATTTTTTAAATTTTAATTTAATGTGCAGTGTAGTGCAGTTGTTAAGGCCCCCCCCCCGTGCACTTGGTACCTTCCCTTGGTACCTTGGTACCTTTAACCCAGCAGAAGTGGAACACAGCTGCTGGAGGTAAAGGTAAGGAGGGGGGTTAGTGGTAGTAGTTGGTAATGAGTGGGGAGGAGGAGAGACACAGACCGACATAACACTGAACGACGCTGCGGGGAGAGGAAACAGACACTAACCGACGCTATGGGCTGAGAGGAGGAGAGAGACACTGACCGAGGCTGGGGGGGAGAGAAGAGGAGAGAGACACCGACCGACGCTGGGGGAAGGGCGAGACACCGACACTGGGGGGAAAGAGGGGAGAAGAGACACTGTCTGACGTTGGGGTCCCTTAAAAATTTCCTCGGCCAAAAAGGGGTCACGAGTGGAGAAAGTTTAAGAAGCACTGCTCTAGAGGGCGGGAGAGTTCTAAATCAGCCCTTTGCTTCCATCACAAGGTGAGTATCTCAGTCTGGCGCTTAAAGAGTTACGAGAAGCACATTCCACCAATACTCGGACCCGCACCCTTTCTGGAGAAACGAAACCAACCGGCTCCCACAAGACAATCATTCTGCGCCTCTCGCTGCTTCATCCACGGTTTCTTCCGCCGTGCTACCTAACTGCTTAATACGGAAACGTCGGCACGGGGCTCCCTGGCTCTGGTTTTGGCTACCGAGGATTACGTTGGAGCTTCCAACTGCCAGCTGAATTTTAGACCTTCAACATAAGAACGCAAAGGCTTTGGAACGTGGTGGACCTTTTACGTGAAGATGAGCCGGAGAGTCCTCTGCTCTTACTGTCTCCACGCGTCCGTGCCCGCCGTCAAGCAGTGCCAACCCTGCGCAGTGTACCTGTGCCAGAGCCACCTCAAAGTGCACAGCAAATCAGCAGCTCACGCCTTGATCGGCATCGCCGCTTCGCCAACCACCGTGAGATGTCCGCGACACGACGTAGACTTTTCCTGGTACTGTCAGCGCTGCGAAGCTTGTTTGTGTCGCCGGTGCAAGGCTGGTCACTTCTTCCACAAGAAGTTGAGGCTCGGCGACGCCAGCGAGGTCAAGAAGACGAGACTGCAACAGGTTCTCATGACGTTGGTGACGAAAATGCAGAGGATCACCGATCAGATCAAGCAGCTGGAGTCGGCCAAAGAGGAGCTGACCCAGAAGATCGGCGACGTCGTCTCCCTGGTCAGCGTCCAAGATCCCTTGGTCGTCTTACAGGAGCGAGAGTCGGAGCGGAGGGATTTCTGTGACCTGCAGGAAGTGGACAGCGAGAGGAGAATTCTAGAATTACAAGAAGAAAACAGAGAGGCGACGAAGAAGTATAAGGAGGCCGTATTTATCGCACTTTGCTTGTTCAGCGTGCTTTGTTTTATTATTTGGGAGGTTCTGAAGCTGCCGTTACCGTGAAGAACGCCAGTGCAATAGAGCGGAGACGATCCAGCACAGGGGTGGGCGACCCGGGCACTCCAGATGTGGTGAAATTACAGATCCCATCATGCCTCTGTCTCTGGGAGCCATGCCTGTGGCTGTCAGTCCTTGCAATGCCTCATGGGAAATGTAGTTCCAAAACAGTTGGAGTGCTGAGGTTGCCCACCCCTGATGTACTTTTATGGAGCGCCTTGTTTTCATCCGGTCATTGATCACTAGGCTACACCCTCCGCATATACTGCCTGTCACCTAAGCTTCTAGGTTCCCCTATTCCCAGTGCTGCTTTATTGCAAGCTTCAGCCCCCCGATTCCCAGACTGCAGCCTTGGGGGTGACCTATATGTTAATATCCTTGCCATGAGACTGTCCTGTTCTTAATTAACCAAAAATCCACCCAACTGCAATCAACTAAGAAGGTGTTGCATGCAATGACTGGCAGGAGGCTGCAGTCCCGAAGACCTGCTCAACCTCTCTACAAGGGACCGGAGACATTTCTATAAAACCTAAAGCTGAACTCCACATATGAAGAATTATGCAAATGTAATCCTCAATATATCAATAAATGTATTTTAGATGCAAGCGGTGTAAGTACCTTCATGTGACCCGGTATCAGCCTCGTCCAGTCCCTGTACAGCAGAGCTCAGAGAGGGACAGGGAAGCTTATGTATTTATTTATTTTGCAATCTGTCCCCCATTGTTTCAAAGAATGCAAAAATGAAGGTACAATCTCCTTTAGATCCACCACCAGCTAGTAAGAGGGCCGGCCTGACTGCATACAAATTGATTGGATAGATTAGCTCAGCGTTTCTCAACCTTTTTTGCAGTCACGGCACGGCATTCCAAATCTCGAGGTGCCCCGGTCTAATATGTAAAATAAATGTAAGACTTAAAACAACATGGCCGCTCCCAAATCCATACCAGACCCTTATCCCAGACAGGAGTGTGGTATGGGTGTTAAGGGACACTACGCAAAAACAGGGAAAAAAGGGGTTCCTCCTTCACATCAAAGCACCCCCCCCC